TTGTAAGGTTTCTGCCGAGAGATCTGCTATGAGTCTGATTGGCCTCCCTCTTTGGGTGACCTGACCTTTCTCTCTGGCTGCCCTTGGCATTTTTTCCTTCATTTCAAAACTGGTGAATCTGACGGTTATGTGCCTTGGGGTTGCTGTTCTTGAGGAATATCTTTGTGGAGTTCTCTGTATTTCTTGAATTTGAAGTTTGGACTGCCTTGCTAGGCTTGAGAATTTCTCCTGGATAATATCCTGGAGCGTGTTTTCCAGCTTGGATTTATTCTCCTTATCATATTCAGGTACACCGATTAAGTGTAGATTAGGTCTTTTCTCATAATCCCATATTTCTTGGAGGTTTTATTCATTTCTTTTCACTCTTTTTTCTCTTGTGTTGCCTTTTATTTTTATTTCATTGAGTTGATCTTCAGTCTCTATATCCTTTCTTCTGCTTGATCGATTTGGCTATTAATACTTGTGTTTGCTTCCCGTAGTTCTCGTGCTGTGTTTTTCAACTCCATCAAGTTGTTTATATTCTTCTCTAAGCTGGTTATTCTAGTTAGCATTTCATCTAACCTTTTTTCAAGGTGTTTGGTTTCTTTGCATTGAGTTAGAACGTGTTCCTTTAGCTCAGAAAAGTTTATTATCCACCTTGTGAAGCCTGTTTCTGTCAATTCATCACACTCCTCAGTCCAGTTGTGATCCTTTGTTGTTGAGGAGTTGTGAGCCCTTGAAAGAGAAGAGGTGTTCTCATCTTTGATGGTTTCATCATTTTTTTGCTGTTTTTTTCCCATCTTTGTGGATTTTCCTGGCTGTGGTGTCAGGGAGCTGCTTGGTGAGGTCGCTTGTCTGCCTTTGGAGGCACTACTGGGTTTCTAGGGACTCCTTCAGGTTACTAGGGAAGCTTCCTGTGTCTTTTTTGTTTTTGCTGGGAGATTAGGCCAGCCTCTTCTGTTGACCCCTAGGCGCTGCTGGGTTGTCAAGAATACGGTCCTGTTGCTACGCAGGTTTCACGTGTTTTTTGTTAAAACATGTAGCCTGGTCCCACCCCTCTAGTGGTGGGCTGTGCCCTTCCTTCACTGGGCTGGATCATTCAGGGTTCATCTCAGACTATGGCACTGGCTGTGCAACCCACTAGATTACAGCTTCAGCACTCGGGTTTGTGGGAAAGGGTAGGCACCAACCCAGCCACACCTGGCCATCTCCCCCTTTCAGCTTCTTCTCTCTCCAGTCATCAGGTAGGGGTCCGCCTGATCCATTTTCTTATGGCTCATACTTTTGGTGTCATGTCTAAGAAATATTTGTCTAATCAATGGTCACACAAGTTCTTCTCCTATGTTTTCTTTTTCAATTTTATATTTTTACATTTTAAATTAATATTTTCATGGTATAAGTTATGGATTGGAATTGTTTTTCCCCCCACACAGATATTCAGTTGTTCTAGTAATACTTACTGAAAAACTATTCTTTCTCTACTAAACAGCCTTTGCATATTTGCTAGAAATCAGTTGTCCATATATGTGTGAGTTTATTTCCAGATTTTCAGTTTTGTTCCTTCGTCTGTCTTTAATCAATAACACTCAGTCTTGGTTATTATAACCGTACAATAAATTTTAAAATCCCATTTTGTTAATTCTCTTTTTTCGTTATTAAAGTATTTTTGGCTATTCTACATACCTTTTATATCTATATGGATTTTAGAGTCAACTTGTCAATTTCTACTAGACGAAGTAAGTTTTATTTACTATTGCATATCAATATAGATTCAATGCAATAGTAAGTAAATAAAATATACAAAACTATTATTTTGAATGTATACTAATATGCAATAGTAAGTAAATACATTTGCTACTGCAGTGAATCTATATTGATATGAGGAAGAATTGTCATATTAATATCATATTGAGTCTACTAACTCTTAATAAATAATGGAATTTCTCTTCATTTGGGCATCCCTTAATTTCTTAGTAATATACAGTAGTTTTTTGCATAGTAGTCTTTCACATCTTTTGTCAGATTTATCACTTTTTCATATTTTTTAAATTATTTTACATAAGATTAAATATCAGTTTTCTGCTTTTTTTTGCTAGTGTAAAGAAATACAGTTGACTTTTATACGTTGTTCTTATATTCTACAACCTTGATAAGAAGAATGATTTGTTTTGTAGATTCTATTGGATTTTGTAGATAATCTTGTCTTCTGAAATTATAGTCTTAATTTTTCCTTCCTAATATGGATGGCTTAATTTATTCTTCTTACCTTATTGTTGTGCCTAAAACATCCAGTATAATATTAAGTAGATGAAGTAAGATCCAACATTTTTATTTATTCCTGATCTTACAGGGCAAAGTATAATCATCTTTTTACAGTTGAATTTACATTTGCCTATGCTCACATGACAGAGACCAAAAAAAAAACCCTCACACATAAATATATAAAAGAAATTATCACATTTTCTTTTCAATAATACACATCTCTGTCATAGTAATGTAGTTCTTTGAGAGTAAAGAAGCATGCTTTATTTATCTTTGTAGCCTCAGCACCTGAAAACATATCACTTGCTCAATGTATATTTGTTGTGTAATAATTGGGCTGGATATTACATTCAAATCCTCTGATTATAAATGCTCAACACATTCTCATTTCATTAAGTCATGAAATTAAAGAGAAATGAGGGGTCTCAATCTTTTGCTAATGCACTATTCTAGTATTTTTCCTTATTCAATATATTCCTCAGCTACAGTACAGTCTATTAAGCAAACATATTCATGTCACAGAAAAGAAACTAAAACATAAGAGTCTAATAAAAAGCAAAATACATATTTCTATTAAAGTCATATGGAAACTGATAACATATTTTAAAATACTTGATATTGTTTTGAACGTCACTGATAAGTATTTTATTTCGTAGTAACTCTAACAACCAATTACAGAAAACTTCCTGTGTCATTTTTGAGGGATCTGATTATTCTTACAGCCCCTAGCTGCATTCCTTCTGTACCCCTGGTATCTGCATCACCTATCATATCCTCAAGTCTTCCTTTTTATACATTTATACCTGTTACATTTCCTGATCAGGTTCTCCTCCTTTATCATATTATTCCACTAAATTCTTTCTGAAATGTACTTTCAAAATCAGTTAGATAAAGAGTATTCCTCCAATCTGGGACATGTGTGATAAAAGTAAGAGGAATCCATTGGCAGAAAATCAAGCTTAACAGGTAGGGAGAAAAGAGGTGAATTTGAATCTTAGGAAGACAAGAGAAAAGGGAGCAATAGAATCCCATGTAGTAGCAGTATTTCTGTGTTGATTTTATTTCTTATGTAACCACAGCATAGCACCCAAAGAATATTAGTTAATGAATGAATTATCTCATTATTACATCTAAGAATAGAAGCAAATTGTTTTTAAACTTTTGAATATACTGATTTTCTTTTGTTTTCTTTTTCTTTTCTATTTTCACTGTGAGCACTATACCAAGTAATAATTTTGGGTTCTCAAATGTCCTCAAAACTTTTGCAAAGATTTACGGGACCTGAAGGCAAGAAGATATTCCTGAGTTTGGTTTAGCAAGTTTCATTACAATATGAGCATATAAGCAAATGCAAAAATAATAAAATTCTGTTAACTAAGGTTTGTCTCAGACATCTGGCTATAAGGAAAGTTTGCAGGCAAAATAATAATATAACTAGGCCATCCTAGTGATTTTAAAATAATTTATCCAAGATCCACTGAATTCTATAGTAGAGAAATTCAAGGTAACTCATTCTCAAATTTTAACATTTTCTTACACGACATCACACATATTTATATTATGAAAATGAAAAACTTTACTTTTGAAATGAGAAATTAAAAGGCATAATGTTTAAGCTTCATAGATACATATATGTAAACTCTAATAATTTTATTGTACAAATATTTTGGGCAAAATGATGGAATATTTCAAATATTTTACACTGAAGCTGGGCGTGGTGACTCACACCTGTAATCCCAACACTTTGTGAGGCACAGGCGGGTGGATAGTTTGAGCCCACGAATTTGACACCACCCTGGGCAACATGGCAAAACCACGTCTCTACAAAAAATAAAAAATAAAAAATTAGCCAGGTGTGGTGTTGGGCACCTGTGGTCCCAGCCTCTAGGAAGGCTAAGGTGGGAGGATCCCTGAGCCCTGGAGGTCTAGGCTGCAGTGAGCCCTGATTGCGCCACTGTACCACTCAAGCCTGGGTGATGGAGTGAGACTCCGTCTCAAAACAGTAACAACAACAAACACATACAAATAGTTTACACTGAATTCTAGTAGAAAAAAAGCAATAGTATTATGTATAATTTGAGAAAACCACTATGTTAGTGCTTATCAATTTCTTAGCATGAAAGCATGCTTATGTGTCCATATTAAAATTTTAAAATATAACAACATATTATTTAAAATATTATTAAACATTTCCTAATAACCTATTTGTAAGGATTTATTCCTTAATTTTTTTTTTACTTGGAAGGCCATTTATTAAATGAATTAGCTTTATTCAAACTGATTTATCAAACAATAATGTCAGTAGAAATAGTCATGCTACTTGCAGAATTATCCAAATTTCTTTGATCACAGTTCATTCTTAATATTTTCTGAGAACAATCTCAGGTAGTAGTTGCAAATTCAGATTACATAAATACTTCCAGTTTTAGTTCAAAAACACAAAGTGATTTTATAGAGCAACATTTTATTAATCAATAAAACCCTTCTTTATTTCAACAGTTTAAAGCCCTAATGTATTTTTTACTGCAAATAAAAACATTATTTTTGAAAATAAAAATTATCTATAATTTTCCATTTAACAGTAAATATTGCATGCAATAGGACTCTGTCAAATCTTCTAAATATATATTAAGATGACGAATTGATCAGTAATTTGCATCACTTAGCAAAAATGATTTGACAGTAAATTACTGTGTCTGGTATGTGCATGCTACAGCATAGTATGTTCAGCATCAAAAAATAAAATAAAATGCAATTACCCTAAAAGACATTTCAAGATTCTCTCCACCCCAGATATCCATTCCTGCATCGTAAGTTCCTATCTCTTCAAAGTAGTTTCTGTCAATAGAAAATAGGCCACCAGCCATAGTAGGGGTCCTAGTTGAAAAAAAAAAACAAAAAGAAAAGAATATCTTTTGAAAACAATGTGTGGAGTTTAATGAGACTATAGCACATATTTTTGAGACATTCTAAATATTAAAAATAATCTCAAACTAGAAACAAAGTCCAGGTATAAGAAGTTTTAAAATTAATAGATAGCTTTTTTTTTTTTTTTTTTTTTTTTTACATTTTCTGTAAAACTCAAATTAGTTTTTGTTTTTCTTATGGGTGATCAAATAGATACGCGGAAGTAACACTGGCCATGGAAGACTGGGACTTCTATATTCCCTCTGAAAAGCATAGTGAAGACAGGTTTCTGCCCTTTGCACTGTCCTTAAAGTGGTTAGCTGGTCATGAAACTACCAGTTGTGAACTTAGGTTACATAACTATAAATCATTTTTATATAAACTCTAGAAACCTGTGGACATGGTTTCACTTTGAAAAGATCCATAACCTGTTTAAATATGAAAAAGGCGCTATAAAACGTTTGTAAGAAATAAGTATCTAGTGATAGTCACAAAGTTATTTTTTTTTAATCATAAGAACTTTACATCTAATTGTTTATTCTCTCTTTACTAATTAAAATAATAGAATTAGTCATCTAATTCTATGGAATTTATGTTTGGAAGGACATTTGAAAGGGATTCTAAAACTTTTTCCTAGGAATAAATGCCTTTTGGTCTCATTCAAAATTCCTCTATAGGAGCTGAGGAGTCTGATGCTAAGTTTTTAAAGGATAAATTACAGTAATTGTTAATTTAAAAGAAGAATTACAGAAAATGTTAATGAGTAAGCTACACAAGTCTTTCTATATATAAGCAGTATAAATTTAAGGGTTAAAAAGAAGATTGTAGTTTATCACAAATAGATCCATACTGGCAATGATGACTTTTGAATGTTAGTTGTAATATAGTGGTTTGCAACCTTAAAAGCACAATAGCAGCACTTGAGTCACCTTTCAAAAAAAGATGGGCATGCTTCAGTACCAGCCTCCACAGATTTAGATTTAATTGGCTTGGGGTGGTGCCTGACTTTGGTATTATGTAGTTTCTATGTAATTCTAATGTACTGCCAAGGGTGAGAAACTGCTATAGAAACTTACTGAAATACTCATCTAAATAGTCTGTGAGGCTATTAAAAACCCAGTGTTTTGCTTTTGTCAAAATTGTGTTCTCCTCTGCCAAAGGTTATGCTCATGTTTTAATTAAACAGAATTGTTCATTGAAAAACCACCAAATAATATTGTACTTGGACGTCTACCATATTGCAAAGTTCTCTGTTTCTCCCGGTGCTCTCGCTGTTTTATGCTCAGGTAATTAACTGTCCATCAGTTGGAGTAGCAGAGCCTTGCTTAGTCTCAGAGCTATTTTATTACTTTTTGTCTTGCTGAGTTCCTATCATGAACAGTATCATTGACCTTCTGAGTTATAATGAGAAACACTAACAAAGCTAAACAGATGGTAATTAGGAAGTAGCCATGACCCTCACCTGATAGGGGTTTTGGAACTCTATGGCAGTAACTATATTAGGTATTACAGTGCTGGAGAGTCTATTTGATAAAATTAGGAACCAAAATTGCTGCAATTATCCTATCATAATGCAACCAAATGCTTAAGACTGATAAGTGATGCATTTTTAATGATCAGTTCAGAATGCCTATCTACTTATCTACTTACTGATAAAGTACTGGCACATTTTAATTTAAATAACATGTATTGAATTTCATCTTACAGTTGGTCATCATTCTTATATGTGAGAAATGTATAAGTGGCTAATAATAAATTATGCTTAATAGTTTATTTTTTATACTATTGAGAATGACTCAAATAACTTTTACTTGTGCTTGAAAATAATAAAAATAATAAGATAAAATTACAATTCTTCAAGTAATTCCCGTATTTTCTGAAGACAGATACTCCTGGACAGGTTGTGTGTGTTTGCAATATCAGTTAGCTCTCTCAGGTTGGAGACTGTGCCTTATAGTATTTAATATCTATCGCCATAGCCAATGTTATGCAATACATTCTGTTCTAAGTTAACTACTCTATAATATGCTTAATAAAATATTTACACATGCCCATGTGTACCTTAAGTATTCAGAGCATCTAGAATATGAAAAACCTTGATTATAGTGAAATTAGCTGAAATTATTTGCTTTTCAAGATTGTGTCTATACAAGGTCAAATCAAACAACCAATTTAATCAATTGAACCTGAGGGGAATAGTCAGCTCAGTGACTGTGAACACTACCCACCACACATAGTAAGTAGGAAAGATGAACTGAGTTAACAGAAGTAAAGCACTTAACACAGTATCCAACACATAATCAATAGTTAATAAGGTTAGATAATATATCTTTTTTGTTGTTATTGATGTTAATCATTTAAGCAAAATCCTTGCTGTCCTTCACTTAATTTGGGCTCCTCTCTCTACATATACCCTCACTTTAGGTTTCAAAACCATTTGGAACTACCTCATATTTAAGATGTGGACTGAAATCTGCCTCAGAGTACAACTTTTTACTCTTTAACCCCTCCCATTTTCATAGGAAGTCACTTTTTATCCTTCATTGGTGATTCTGGTTCCTTAATCTATTGTCTCACATTAATAACACCCATCAGGAATTCCTTCTTCCCTTCTCACAACCCATTTCCAGGGCTCTGTCATGTCAGCAAAACACTGGCTTAGGAACCTTAGTTCTCTGTGCTTTTCTGCAGTTTCCAATTATCTCTCTCTCTCTTTTTTCTTTAATGTTGGTGGTTGGGTGAATTTACTTTTCACTTCATTTACTTCTGCTATTAAGGCACTGGAAAAGTAGTAAGATGTGGTTAACTGGTTATAGGACAAGTCTACATTATTGATTCTCTGCTTAACTCACAAACTGCTGTTTATTTGTTCACAAATTTAATTCACAAACTGCTATCTGTTTATTTGTTCACCTGTCTTATTGTTCTCTTTTTTTTTTTTTTTTTTTTTTTCTTTGAGACAGGGTCTCACTCTGACGCCCAGGCTAGAGTAGTGCAGTGGTGCAATCACAGCTCCCTGCAGCCTCAACTTCCCAGGCTCAGGTGATTCTCCCACCTCAGCCTCCAGAGTAGCCGGGACTATAGGCATGCACTACCATACTGAGCTATCTTTTGGTATTTGTTGTAGAGACAGGGTTTTGCCATGTTGCTTAGGCTGGTCTTGAACTCCTGAGCTCAAATGACCTGCCTACTCGACCTCACAAAATGCTGGGATTACACGTGTTAGTCACCACACCTGGCCTGAGTCTTTTCCAAAAGTTTCGGACTCCTCTCAACAGCGAGGGGATCAAGGCAATGCATGACATCTAAATTCTCTCAATCATGAAATCTAAACTCCTTCAATCTCTAGCTCAATGTGTTTAAAAATGTGTCTTCCTTATGGCCTTGTCTTTCCACTTGACTCATAGAAAATAATATCTCTTTTCCTCTTATTGTGGGCCAGCATTCACCCTTGTTGTCTCAACAAGCTCTCTCCTGACTACTCTTTCAGGCCCTTGCTCATTGACTATTAACATTTATGTTTTATGCCTTTGATTTCTAGATTGTTCTCTTGAGCTTAAAACCTGCGAACAAAGTTCTATCCTAAACCAGAAAAAAATTTTCATTCCATCTTACTACTCTTTTAAACTAGGGACATATATTTCCTATTCCCTTCACTGGTAACCTTCTTGAAAGGTTACTTTCTACAGACTCCCTTAACAACTTTTGACCTTCTAACTAGAAGGTAGATCCTGCTCCCACTTCTACAATCACTTCTTTCTGAAAGGTCCCCATTGATTCTGAACTCCAATAATCTGTCCTTAACTTTTCCTTTGAAACCATATAGCACAATTCATCAGCCTTCTGCTTGAAATTATTTTCGTTTCTAGCTCCCATTGCATTGTTCTGTAGAGGTTTTCCTTCTGCGAATTTGACTTAATTTTATGATCCTTATTGATAAACCCTTTCCTCTCCTTTTTCCTTGCTATCAGAATTTGGATAAGCTCTTAGTTTCACATCTGTCATATAAATGCAATTTGCCATTATAATATTATTTTGTGGATATATGCATTTAGTAATTTTTTTCTTTCATCTGAAATGTATCCTCCTAAGGGTCTCTCAGGGGCACTTTTCTCTTTCTCTCAGGGCTCTCTGCCTGGGTATGATAAGATCATTCATCACATACCTTTCTATGGTTGACTCCTAATCTGTGTTTTCATACCTGTTTTCTCTGCATAAGTTGTGCTTTTGCAGTTCCTCACTAGATGTTTCCTTTAAAAAATTCCTTTGACTCTGTTCAGTGTGTATACCATAGACCTGAGAATTTGGTATTCATCTGCTTGTCTTTTAATGTCTTTTATTTCCTTCCAGTCTCTTAATATAAAATTAAAAAAAAAAACTTTTTGGTGCATAATTCAATTATTTCCAAAATACTTCTACCTTTTTTTCTGAAGTATTTTTGACTCATCTCTGTTATCAGTGACTCTACTTTTAGTCTTCTATGTCTAACTGTCTTCTATGTTTGGTAATAATGAGATCCTCTTAGATGCTAAGATGCTTGGATGCTAAGAGGATCTGGATGGCTCTAGATTCTTCTGCTTCTGAAATTTATCCTAGAAACCATAGCCAGATTAATTTCTCTAAATCAATGCTTCTCTAAAAATGTAAACCAGATGTTCAAAAATCTATGTTAAGGAAACAAATTCTAGCTTCTTATTCTGGCATCAGTAATCTGGCATCACCCAATGAGCTTCTCCCAACCCTTTTTAACTATTTCTCTGCAGTAAAGTGTTTAGCTGTTACTGGTAGATGTTTTACATTTTTGTACCTTGGTACACTTGTTCACATCCATTAGTCACCTGGATTTTTCTTTGAAAACTCCCCTGTATATTCAAACTTGGTTATTCTTAGGCTAATACAAATCTTATATATTCTAGGCAGCCTGCCCTCAACACCAATGCCGTCTCCCTGCTCCCTCAACCAAGACATAT